CTATACCATGGCTATGTTAGTTTACCAGAGGGTAAATCTCATAAAAATCCCATTTAAACCCATTAAAAATCCCATTGAATCCCATTAAAAGCGAACTTTTTCTTTGTTTACCAGAGGGTACTTTTCAACAAATGGTCGTTTTCCATGGCATTCCATGGCTGTTTACCAAAGTCTGTTAGCATCTGCCAGCACCGCTCCCCCACCTAGATGCAGCAGGATGCGTTGGCGTTGCCGGCGTTACGGCAGCCTGGAAAAAGCTGGGGCTATACATTGACCTGGTGGGTTTAAGATCTTTCAACCCTGTAAAAACAAATTACTTTGCTTCGAGTGATCCCCACCATGACATTTCAAAACAGCTTGTTGACACCACTTTTGTCTGAAGCTTTTGTCACGGGACTTTTGCCCAACTAACTATCCCAATCATTTGTTTCACCTGGCAGGTCATTGTGCATGTCAGACTGTCAAACAGGATATAAACATGTCAGTGGGCCATGTGAAGTAAACTCCAGAGCTCTCAACAGGCTTGCTTAAACATAACCAAACAGGCCAGTGGACCACCTGAGCCAAACAAACAAACATGCCCAAACATGTCAGCACACCGCCTGTCAAACATGTTTGTACAAACATGACTGAACCAAGCCAGTGGACCACCTGAACCAAAGTCAAAGGCTCGCAAGCTCATGTGTAAACTCGACAAAACCATGCCAGTGTTACTTCACCAGATCGCTGCAGCTGCAACTCTCTATTCCTCCACCAGACCTCTTCAATCAAAACCGATTAGGTCCCACAGGTATAGCAACGTGTCAGGCCTATGCCTCCCCCGGACCTCTTCAGTCAGAACCGATTAGGTCCCACTGGCAGCGCACTGTGTCAGGATGCTTGCAATTCATCATAGACAGGCCAGGACTGCAGCCGCTCCAGCGTCGAAGCAGCTTTGGATTCCAACTTGTCAGTCAGTTCTCGCAAGTAGGTAGGAGGGCCTTTGCGTAAAAACTCCTCCACTTGCTCCGTGAACCCCAGCAAGATGAGATTCTTCAGTTTGCGAGCACGCGTCAGCATGACATAGATGGCTAGCCACCAGTCCGCATCCTCTAGGCCACCACCACGACGCAAATCAACCAGCACACCTCCGTCCAAAGTCAAGCCTTGCGCGCTGTAAGCAGCCACTGGCCAATGTGCTTACTTCCACTCAAACTCCTCGCCTGCGCAGCACTCGCAGATTGGTCACCCGCTGCCATCACCTGCCAAGCAAACAAAAACACGCAAGAAGACATTACTGATCACACAACCTCCTCCTGCTGAATTCTTCTATGATGATGTCCATCCGGCCTCTGGCCCGCGATCGAGTAGATGAGGGCTCAAATGCTCCAACCAATGTTCCGATGTCACATATCCACCATGCCACCATAGCTGTGATACACAACAGAAACCCTATGTGATGTTGACTCTCTCAAGCATCAATCCAGCATGAGATCACTTCAAGTAATTTGTAGTAACTTGCTGTAAGATGTTGCCTGTCTCAAGCGTCTTTGCAAACAGCTCCAAAGGTACAGAAATGCAAATGTCTCTGTCCACCCCAGTGACTCTGTCATCTGTTCCAACTGATTGCTTCAAATTTTGCCACCTGCAAAGTAAGAAGTGGCATTGCCCCGGGCACTCTACCACACACGCGCGAATTTGCAAATAATATATAACATATTTGTCTGACATTCTTTCTAACTTTCTTCTGCACATTCTTTGTCCCATATCTTCCTACATGAGGTCCGGCAGGGAACACTTGGCATGGATCCTCGCGGTTGAGGTCCGGCAGGGAACACTGGGCGTGGATGGTCGTGGTTCAGGTCCGGCAGGGAACACTGGGCCCGGATACTCGCGGTTGAGGTCCGGCAGGGAACACTGGGCGTGGATGGTCGTGGTTGAGGTCCGGCAGGGCACACTGGGCGTGGATGGTCGTGGTTGAGGTCCGACAGAGAACACTGTGGATCGCGGGTCGCAGTTGGACGAGGAGGACGACGAGGAGGACGACGAGGAGGACGAGGAGGAGGAGGAGAGGAGATGAGGAGAGGAGAGGAGAGGAGAGGAGGAGCAGGCAACTGACATAAAATCTAACAACCCTCACCTGGCAGGTGGGGAACAAACTGGGAATCAATGATGATTCTGATGTTGATAATGACACAACGATGATGTCAAACCTAATATGTATCAATCATAACCATCATGATTAATTAAGACATATTAAGACTATTTATCATCATCACCACTCCTCCTCCTCCTCATCATCATCATCATCATCATCACCATCATCATCATTGTAACTAACCAACCATCCAACCATCATTATTCTCAACAACCAGCCATCATTATTGGAATCACTCATCATCATCCCGTGGGCTGATAAAAATGAACCAACACAGTATCAGTTGGTTGATGTTGAAGCGTCCCTTTGGGCCAATGGTTGTCAAGTTGTCAAAGAACAAGACCTTTCATACCGGCAGACCCTCCGAAAAGTACCCATAAATTCATATAAATTCCATGAAATTCCCAGAAACATGAGGATGTGTCACCAGTGTTACCCCATGATTTTCGTACTTTTACGATCTGTTTGGGTGGTATTTGCAGGGTATAGAAAACCGAGAAGTCCATGGAATTCAGGTAAGTGGTAATCCAAGCCGGAGGTAACTGGGAAACTGGTCAGGTTGTAACCCAGTCATGTGGTAACCCACAAAGGTCATACAATGTGGGGCCCCCGTGGCCACGAAATCGCAACAAGTTGGGGTTCACATAACTCCAATTTCACTATATATAATTATATGGTTTATGATACGCAAATAACTATAGTTAATGGATGTTAATGGGGTTTATAAACCAACTTATAACTGGGGGGGGCACATTGTACTCACTGGAATGATCCTCCAAATAGTGTCTGGAACCTGGAACCGAGAGACTGAGCTATGTAAAGCTCGAAACCTATCTCCATACATCAGCCCAGCCGTGTCTCCCGCCTTCACACCCACGGATGGAACGGTCACAATCGAGGAAAACATGATTTGAATTCGATGATTTTGGATGATTTCGCTACAGTTCGCAGATTCGCAGCCCGAGAAACCACGGATTCCACGGTTTCTATGTCAACGAGCTCCGTTGGCAGATGCGAACGTCAGAGTTCTCTTGATTTCACAACTGACTTGGACCAGCTGCGGGCAAAAAAACATGGGATGTACGTTCAGGTTGATGCTTGTTCGCAAACCATTGAGATTGCCCCGCAAGTTGGAAGTTAGTTTCAAAACCCCTCTAAGATCATCGATCAAACTGATTATGTGTATATCATATTATTAAGTGAATGGTTCACCATAAATCTGAGTAAATTATAATTAGTTCACTGTAAGCTGAAATAAGGCCATGTGGGGATCAAACGTTCAAATCTGGGGTGTATCCTTCCGTCGGAGTCAAACATTTGAGACCTTTTTGAACATGTTTCCACATCTATGTTATAATTAGGTTACAGGAGGATAGCTTATTTTTCGACACATTTGTGATCTATGTTTGAGCCCAATCCAGATGTTCTTGTCGTGAACGCTTGTGAAGCATGGCATTTTCCGAAAGAATAGTTGCTGGTGTCAACCACTGACGGAAGGTTTTTCATGCCGTGGTACACTTTATGTGTAGTTTCAAGTTTCAAGTGTCGTGTTCGTGTATATAACTATATATATTGTATATATATAATTATATGTAACATCTGTTAAACTAATAGCTAATACAATGGAGATGAATCATTCCAAACCCCTGCGCAATTTGGCATGATTGCCATTGTTAACCATCCTGTTCACTTGAATTGTTGTACCGAGGCCGGTCTCAAATCCTGCTTCCAACCTTTTGTGGCCTGCGGGTCTTCTCAAATGGGGCAACCAACCATCTGGGCAAATCTGAATACAATATTCCCCATCCCCCCATTCATATGGAGGTTTCCGAAAATGGGGGTACCCCGCAATCATAACCCATATAGGATCCATGGTGCTGCTATATATGGTGCTCCATGGATCCCATCAATATACCCCCAGTCATGTTAGCATTAATATACCAGCACCAGCCGGATCCGTCATGGGTAATAGATGATTTTCCCTCCAAAAAAACCATCCAGCTATTCGGGCATCCCCAGGAAACATGAAACCACCATGAAACTCTATGGGTATCATTGCCACCAACCAACAAGCCACCAACCTTGGAGCTATGTTGACATATGTTGACCAACTAAGCCTTGCCACCAACCCCACCTTTAGTAATAAAACCAAGCCTCTGGTAATAAAACCTGGTTTGCTGGAAATTGCCCCATTTAGTTCGGTGCTTTTTTCCCATTCAAATGCTATTGCTTGGGGATTTCCCGGCTACCCAAGTTTGATGACCCGATGTACATCCCATGGCCAGCAAATCTTGTAGGTTCGTGAATTGTGATAATTCTGGCAGATGACCAATTCATGAACTGTGAATGAGGGTGAATGAGGGTGAATGAGAGTCAATGATGGTTCATGACGCTTAATGATGGTTCATGATGGTTGAAAAATACCAAAGATGGGAAATCATTGTCAACATTCCCTGGCCGACCTTTTCACCCCCCCCCGCAGAAACCATGATTTAGTAGGGCATCTACACATATCTGGGGCTATAAATCAACCACAATTACCACTCAATTGAACATTAATTACCAAAAAAAACAATTACCATTAGTTCACTATTAATAACCACTAATTACCATTTATAAATCCATTATATAACTACCATTGGTTCACGATTGGTTCAACTAATTACCATTATAAATTATAAACCTACCATTTGTTCACCATTGCTTCACCATTCATACACCGATTTACAAAAATCATCATTCATTAGTTGATCCACCAATCATTCACCATTCATCATTCACCAATCAGAACTAATTTACCATTATAATCCTATCATCATTCAATTTACGTGGCCCTTTGAAGGTCGCGACCTTCAGAAACCTGCCTGCAGAGTGAGGAAGACGTTCAGCGGCTTCAAGTCGCGGTGCAACACCTCGAAAAAAACGGTGTTTTTGCAAAGCTGGGGCAAGCTCCGTGGTGAATTGATGTGGTTTATATAGGTTTAATGGGATTTAATAGGATTTAATATGGTCTGATGTGGTTTGAATAGGTTTAATATAGGATTTATATAATATGGTTTGACCAGATTTCACGGGTTTAGTAGGGATAATCATGATGATGGATATTCCGTCCAGTATACTCAAAGAGCTATCGAAAATCGCCATGTTTACTAGGTAAATCATCGAACTAAATGTGTCATGTTCCGCTATGCGAAATTACTGGAAGGTAGCCCCCAAAGCCGTGGAGGCCAGTGGTTTATCATCTTCCCCATTGAAGCGAAAGGGTCTTGTGGTATCATCAAAAGCCGAAAAAAAAATCTCCCGCCCAAATCTGGACCAATCCCTGTGAATCAAATGCTGGGTCTATTTGCTGACCTATGCGGTAAACCTTGTTTTTTGACGTCCGTATGCATTATTTGACGTCTGTAGCCAAAATTTGGCAACATTTGCGGGAACCATAATTTTACCGTAAAATGCGGTGAGCACGAGCGAAAAGTAACAGGGGCTGATATAAGATGAGGGGTCAATCCTGAAGAGATCACGGTTCATCACGTTTTGTCACGGTATTTTCGACAAATGTCATAATTTTAAGTGGCAATGTCACGATTTGTCACGATTTTGAACTACATATGGCCATGATCAACTCGCATGCGCATCTTCGAAACAAAGGATGTCTGCGTTTTCTCATCGATTTCCGACAAAATCCGGTGGATTTCCAACAGATTCCAACAAATGTCACCAAAATCAAGCGTTAACGTAGATGTGGCCGTATTTTGACTACATTGTTATTTTTGATCTATATGGCCGACCTCGATTCTCAGGGAATGAGATGGCGCCAATGTGCCCCACGCGCATCAACAGTCTTCAACTACAATCAGAAACTGGGGGTATCAAATTGACCCCTTCCCCCAATATGTCATATTAATAGAGCCTCTTCAAGGCCCTGAATGAACCTAACTGGGGTTGCAAATTCAGCTACATCTGGTAGGATACCATCATGTCATGTCTGTCATGTCATCACTATGAATATGTCCGAGGTTTTTGGTATACTGAATTACTGATAAGCATTTTACTGAAGACTTATGATTAGCAGCATGACTAGCCATGGTTTTTGGTGGATTTTCTTGGGAGAATTGAGGGGTACCATGGGGTACCAGATTTTTTCATATTTTTTCAGCCAGTCACAATGGAGCGGACGGATTAGTGACGTCGCAACTAACTGGGGCCATCACTAATCCGAAGAGCCCGTGGGGCCCAATATATGGGCCCATGACGGTTATACTAACCGAGAGATGGCAAATTTGGATATCCTCTGGTAAACTAACATAACTATGGAAAACATATGAAAACATCCACCATGTTTAATGGGAAAACTCACTATAAATCAATGGCCATTTTCAATAGCAAACTGTAAACGTTTACCAGGCCGGGTATCTACCACAGAATCCTCAACAGGATCTCAGGGTAACAGCAGATCCTGCTTTTTTTGGGGGGGGTATTATATATATGCTAACATGACTGGGGTATATTGATGGGATCCATGTTACCATATATAGCATACATGGATCCTATGGGCATGAATTCTGAAAAAAAAACTCTCGTCCCGAGCGTATCCCATTGATCCGTAGCCTTGCGAGCGTGGATGTGTGTCAAGGCAAGGACCAGCTGAACGAAGATCCGCATGATCTCCCATTCCTGCGGCAAGATCCCAGTAAGATCCATGTGAATGCTGGTGGTGGCAACTGGGGCAACTGGGGATCAAATTCATCGGATTCCTTCTTATGTTTGTTCCCTAGAGACCAACAACTTAAGTGGGTCATGGCTTATCCCGATGGTTGAACTAGCCCCATGTTCAAAACCACAATCCGCGGGGTGAACCTCCAAATATCACCGGGACAGCAGGAAACCCACTGGGGAAAGGAACGAAACTGGACAGTTCCCGAAGACTGGAATGAAACATTTCAGCAAGATGTTTTCCAGCGTTTCAACGTGGATCTGCCATCAACAAATGGTCCCAAATGGTTCGTTGAAATTGTGCATGAACACCAATGGGGAAATACACAACATCAATCCGAAAATCCAGGGAAACGGCTGTTTCCGGCTGATACATATATCTTCAGGTGAATCTCCTGAATCAATTGGGATGGTCTAACGTGACAAATACAAGGTGAGGGCCCCCCGGTCATGAGTTGGGTTACACACCCCATCAAGTATAAAGTTACCCTCTGGTAAACTAACAGTTTGCTATTGAAAATTGCCATTTATAGTGGATTTACCCATGAAACATTGTGATTTTCCAACCTTATGTAAACGTTTACCAGAGGGTAATTTCCCATGAGCTCAAACAGTGATCAATCACCATTTCTTTCTTTTGGGGATTACTAATGATTACTATATCCCCAAAAAACATCCAAAAACCATGGTTGATGACTTCAAAAACTCCGCAACTTGGGGCAACTTGCGCGTTCGTCCGTTCGCCGTTGCGCCTCGAACTGAGCGTTGGTGTCCTTCCGTTCCTGTCTTCCGAAGGGCCATTCACAGGACATCGGTGATATCCCCGTGGATCATACCCCTATCAGGTACCACATGGTACCACTGTTCCAGAGCCTGACCCCCAACACTGGGGTGAACAAAAACATTTTCTCGGAAAATGTTGGAAACAGGATCTTGCACTCACTTGCAGCATTAATTTATACTAAATGATACTAAATGTGGATGTTCCCTTTGTTTCCCTTCACTCAAACTACTTGAACCATCCATGAATTCCAGGCATTTCCAGAATCGCGGCCACCAAGCTTGATCTGACGATTGTAACCCCTGACAACTGACAAGGTGGGAAAACCCCCCTGGCCAAGTTGACGTATGTCCCCATGGTCAGACTTGTTCAAGATGAATCTACCATGCACTTCACACAACCAGTGATTGGAGTTGTGAACCCAACACGAAGAACTTAAGCCACAAAATTAATATCTGGGTTCACAACAAAGGACAATTTAAGTAATCCAACATGGACAACCATGGGTAACCTATGAACCCCCAAGCGGAGCTTAGTCAACAAAAATCTGGGGCCGATGGGCCTTGATCTTGATGCCCAAATCACCACCATTGGCGTACTCCATGATGATGTACCTGAATGGTGTTAAAAAAACGGATTAACCTTGGATAACTGGTTGGTGGTTGAACCACACCCTCTGAAAAATAATGGAGTTCGTCAGTTGGGATGATGACTATTCCCAATATATGGAAAGTCATAATATTCCATGGCTCCAGGATGATTATTCCATTCCCAACTGAATGGAAAAAAACATGTTCCAAACCACCAACCAGACAGGATTAATTAGATAAACTATAGATTAATCATGGAAGAGATCATGAGATTCCACCAGAAACTTCTGATGAAACTTCTGATGAACCATTTACAAGTACCCTCTGGTTATGACTAACAGTTCGCCATGGAAAGATCCACCATGCTACTAAGTTCTGTAACATTTCTATGGACCATCTATGGCTATGTTAAATAACCAGAGGGTAACACTTAAACCGAAGAAATGGAAATAGATAGTTTGCATATCAAAGATGTCAATGAATAACGGGTATCTGAAAATCGAGGATTTACCTCATTTCAGAGGAAATGATGATGAAGCAGCGGACTTCCACTTGAAAAATCTGTGCGTGAATTTTGATTCTCATCACAAATAGGATGCAACATGAAACATCATTGAACCAACCAACAATGTGTTGGGTGGGTCACCTCGAATTTTCCAGTCGCTGAACTGGCCCACTGAAAACGGCTACAAGAAAACCCCCACGTGTCTGTATGGCAACAACAAAAACTGGAAAATTGTTTCATGCTTCCCTTGAATCTACATAATCTACACATTGCAAGCCCTAGATTTCCATAGGTAAAATATGGTAACATGGCCCTCTGAGAGCCCAAACATCCTTGGGCCCTCCAAAAAGGAGTTGATGTAGGCGATAATGTTCCTGGCCGTATGACTCCGGTGCTTAGTAGCGAAATGTGGGAACGGGATGAGTGGCCAAAAATGGCTATCTGCTTGGTGGTTGACCTACCCTCTGGTAATTTAACGTAGCTATTGAAAATGGCCATTTATAGTGGATTTTCCCAGTAAAAATGGTGATTTTCCATAGTCATGTTAAATCACCAGAGGGTACCTCTTCTGAAAAATGATGGAGTTCGTCAGTTGAGATGATGATTATTCCCAACTGAATGGAAAGTCATAAAATTCCATGGTTCCAAACCACCAACCTGCTATTATTGCCCCATTCCCTAGCTTTAGCACCAAGATTTATGAGGATTCGATATGGATTCGGAGTATCTTGTGCCAAGCTGCCCTGGATTCTGTGAAGAATATCCCCCATCGCAGATCAACGAAAACGTCATTCACCACGTAGTATGATTATCCCATACTTATCAATAGCATAGAAAAGACATTCACAGATTGTGATGCTAGTTACCTATAGTCTATGGTCTATACTATAGTTACCTAATTAATCTAGGTTAACCTATAGTTTACAGTTATACAACTATATGTTATAATCTTACCATTCTTTTCTGAATCTTCGTTGTTTCAAACCACGACTGACAAAACGACACCGTTGTTCCAAGCCACGGATGTTTCAACATTCTCAGAACCTCCGACTCAGCGATGGCTCCCTTGACAGAAACCAAGGGTACGGTGAAATTGGTGAACGAGTTGGGAGGAGTTTTGGGCGTGTGAAAACCATGGGATGTAACATCCAATGACATTTCAATGGCTAAACATCGAAATGGTAACATTTTATGGGATCTTTGAAGAACATCGAGCTCTGAACGATTCCTGGTTGGTGGTTGAACCACACCCTCTGAAACATATGAGTTCGTCAGTTGGGATGATGAAATTCCCAACTGAATCGAAACATAAAATTCCATGGATTCAAGAACATCTTAGGCAAAAAGTGGAGGTAACTGACCCATGTAAATGGGATTGAAAGTTGTGTGTTTTACCGTCTCATCCACATTCAAACATGAAAATGCAGGAAGTGGTCGCACTGGTTGTCACCTTCAAGGCATCAGGCAAATCAGGGGAGTCAAGCTGAGAATAAACCGGGCTGCTAGGGTTCCTAAACACAGGGAAAACTCAAGTGAGTAGAAGGTCGGTGTTTGGAATTTACTCAAAAAGTTATAGCAGTGCTTAGAGAAACAAAAAAACACTCTTGGACATTTCATCAATATAACGGTTGTAAAGAAGGATTGTCGCAATGGAGCTTGATAATCCATAATCTCTATTGGATGTTGGATCCCTCGTAACGTAACCCCTACGGGGGATATTCAACAGTATTCACCACACCCAAACGAAACCAAGGTTTATAGTCGGGGATGAAACCACTTATCTGGGACCATTTAGATATTTAGGGAGTGTTTGATACGAATTGAATGGGGGATGGTATTGCTGACAGTTGGTTAGTTATAAACCATGAAATATCAGCATTAATCTCCCACTATGGTTGGTAAATCCAGAATCCACTAATTATAATAAACGGATACAGTATATCAGTATATCTCGGTGATTTATGATTATTAACCATTATGAACCAGTTTCAACACTATTCACTACTATCAACCATTATGATACCCCCCTATAACTCATCAGCTGTTTTGTTTTACTGTAAATGTACCTCCAATACTTGGAGAACATCATCCCACGAATTCTCACCGGTTTGGTAGGTTTATTCCCGTCTACAACTGGGCTGCTAAGATAAGTAAAACGTGTAACCTAATATTTTCGATGAGGTCTACAGGATGGGGACCCCAATATAGCGTTCAGTTGCCTTCTAAGTGGCGAAACAACTATGGTTTATGGTAGATATAAGTATAGCCAATGGAGGTTCTAATGGTTTATAAACCAACAACCATGACTGGGGGTCATCTTCCATTGGCAATGGGAATCCATGGCAGTGTTATAGCCCATATTATCCCATGATTGTCCCACTATCCATATATCGTATATCCCATCGGAATATAAGTCCATGAGATTATACATTAAAATCCTATACTCATAAATTTGATTATATAAATTTGTCTATTATCTATCCCATTCATATCCCTATTCTTGGAGGAGACTCCCAGTAAGTATCCCACAAATTATTGTTTTTTTTCCGCATTAGCAAGCCCTCCACCAAATCATGTGCCTCGCGCTGCTTGTCTGTGAGATGGGAACTGGGTGCAAGCAGCAGCGAAGCTATTTGACACATCCCCGGAGAAAGCAAGGCACAATGATCTACATTTAATTAATCCATCTGAAACCTTCAAAAACATATGATTCACACCAACAAAAAACACACTGTGTATCACTGTGTAGTATATTAAGTTTCTTCAAACTTTCTCCGCGGCTGCCTTTGAATCAACGTGATGAATTCTGAAACGATCCCAAGGGCCCGGCATGCGAATTTCCTTCGCCACTTGGAGGTGTCGCTCATCCTGTTGGAGCGAGGATACCGAGGGGTCCCAGCGATATCCAGCGATGCCATCGCGGCCGGCGAGGGAATCGAAACGGGAAACGGACGAAATGTCTGAGAAATGTCATGCACATCGAAAAAAATGAGCAGTTTCGGACAACTTCTTGTGACCTTCCACACGACTGATTGATCTGATTGGTTGAGGCTTCGGAATGATTCCTAATGTAAATCAGTTCAAGAACCAGGGGCTCTTGACAACTGCTCAACAACTCGAATACTCGCTGCATCTTTCCACGATTTCTCGTTTTGGAGACTGAACTCTCAAGATGGCTGTAATTTGGGCTGTAATCCTGGATTCATGGCAAGAAACACATCCATTCAACCTCGTAAATGAAGGTTTAGCGGTTTACCGCTCGAAATGTTCAATGATTCTTGATTCACACATGTTTATGATACATATTTGGACCCTCCAAGTCCTCGAACATTTGGATAATATACCCATGGCGACTGGAACTTTTGTCCATTTTTCATAGGTACTCCACCTGACCCAGGGAGTTACACTTCCCGCCCCTCCTTCGGTCGAACCAGATACGCAGCGCCTGGAGTGGTTTTTGGCAGTTTTTTGGGCCGTCCAAAGAAATGGGGACATAGCTACAACAATCCACACATAGATGTAGCCTCTGGTTAATTAACATCTATAAATGGGCCATTTATAGATGATTTAGCTATTAAAATCTTTAAAAGGCTGATTGTCCATAGCTATATGTAAACGTTTACCAGAGGGTAGTTCATGAGTTCACCGAATATTTTTCAATAGCTAAGGCTATGGCAATGTCAAATAACCAACAAAAATGGTAGCCATGGTGTGATGCACCTCTGAAATCTGACTCCTAGCAACAAACAGGACGATAAGAATGGGTGCTTCACCTGCCACGTTTCACCAACGCAAATGGGGGAGGTAAGAGGAGTGGCAAAGCCTGGTTCGAACTTTCTAAACCCATCCATATGTGGCTGGGAAAGAATTAGTAGCTCGTTGGCTCATGAGATAGGGAATATGGAATGATATGGATATCCAAACCGCTCCCTCAACCGCTCCCCCCATTCACCACTGGATCGAAAAAGAAAACAATGCAACAACAGGATCCTACGCAGTCGTGAACAAGGTGGTGCCCGATAGAAAAAAAGGTACCAAACACAGCAACTCCAATAAGTCTTTGGGCGTGTAGATATTATAACATATCAAAATTGTAACTACATTTGGATGGAGGTTGTACACCAACAAACCTAACTGGCACGCACGACCTCGTCTGGTTAAGACATAATGTTAAGACACACCCAGGTCGCTGCTCAAGGTCTTCGAGTTTCGCGTCTTTGGCTTCAACAAGTGCAAATCAACTCTCATCCAATTTCAGCGAAACAAGATACTATCATCATCATCATCAACAACAACAACATCATCATCAACAACAACAACAATCAGCAATCCAGATGCAACCGAGAAGCCGAAGGCCCCTTCTCCCAGAAGCTTGATCTTCTCATAGCGATCTTGAAAACTGCCTCGAGCGCCAAGCATGGTCCTGGAGTAGGAAGCCAGTATCCAAGCTGAGAATAGCTGAGAAAAACCAACACAAAAGCGCCTCAAAAGATAATAGGTTCTCTTGAACAGGTGGACTAGTTGCAAAAAAAGGGCTGGAAAAAGACGGCTTTAGCCGGTGGCTTTCCAACGTTTTTGGAGCGAAAGTATGCCATTTCGACATGTGACACTGTCATTTGATGTCATTTGGGTATAGCCCATATGCATCCATATGCTGAATGTATGGCATATTTACTAACATGTACCCCAAAAATATTACCCCAGTGATGTAGCTAAATATGACCGCACCATGGAGCACTAATGGGATAGCTATAGGTACAGTCATTGAGTACGTCCCATCCCACCAGTCTCCTGAGAAACCATGGCGAAAGTGGCGATCAAAAGATCCCAGTTGGGTGAGATATCACTTCCTGTAAGTTAAACAACAGTTGAAAGATCCAAATGGATTTGTTTAAAGGTGTCTCAAGATAACAAAGATGTTGAAGTTTCAACTGTTTCACAAAGGCAAATTCCTTTAAAGTAACATCAAGCACACATCAGGAAGGATGCAAATTGCGTTTCCATGCGGGGCTGGGTAGGAGAGCTATATGGTTGTGGGTCGAAACCCTGGTACCCGGATGGTACCCAAACAAATCCCTGGCTCACGGATGCTTATTCCATGTTATTCCACCAAATATGGTAATCATATAGGTTTTGAGCCATCCCCATATTAACTTAAGATTAACTATTGAACCAATTACACTAAGGAAGCGTTTTGCGTTCAATAATTCATAGCCATCACGGCCATCACAAGACATCTGCATGGCGCAAATTTCAGCAACCCTCAACGGCTGGAAGCCCAACATGTCGCAGGATGCAGGACCAGTGTCCATTTCAGGAACCTAAAAATTGGAGGTGCCTACCTACCACATATATAGGATCCATTATGGTCCAAGGGCTCGTAAGGGGAGATATCTCCTGGTAATACCTCCAAAAAATAATATTGTTTTTGTATGGTACAGTACCTCCGGTATAGGTACATAAAACGGCCAACAAGGGACGATAGTGATATCATCTTGTTCTCTCGGTGGTGCCCCCCAAGTGATGGCCAAGGTGGTTTATAACCCCCATTAAGTATAGGTATATCTACCATAAACCCAAGTTATTGGAGTTATAAAACCAACTTAGCTAACGAGCTGGGGCACCAATAGAAATTAATCTAATGTCAACCCCGGATTAATAAACCCTGGCTGATCAATTGTGGTGGTTCTCCCAAATTGCAATAAATTTCTACTGAAATGGCACCCCCCAATTAACCAGCCTAGGGTTTATTAATCTGGGGTTGACATTACCATGAACCCAACAGTGATTGGAGATATATAGAAACCAACTTCGCAAAACCCGAACTTGGGCACCACTGTGCGACTATGAGAGAAATCCCATGACAGCACATTTCCGTGTCGATCATGAATTCTCTGCCTCAATGCCCAGTTCTGGAATCACAGTTCTGAGTCCGTTGCATCTTTTTGTTGCTAACAAAATCGTTAACGATATAGACACAAAAATGATCTTCATTGCTTCCCAGCACCATGCCGAAAACCATGCTTATGCTACTTGATACGAACTAACACTTTTGAGTGCCTTTCTACTTACAGAATTGATCTCATCCAGAGTACCCTCTGGTAATTTAACATAGCTATTGAAAATAGCCATAGAAATAGTGGATTTTCCCATTAAAAATGGTGGATCTTTCAATATAGTTATGTAAACGTTTACCAGAGGGGGTAACCATGGTTGATAAAGTTCAATAATGGTTTTAATGATGGTCAATACTCCAAAAAAATCCCAAATGTAGGTAAATATTTCATACCTGGAGCATCCAGAGTATGGTTGAAGTCTGGTGTGACATTCCCCAGTCTGATGGCCATTTCAGGAACCTAAATTGGAGGTACCTACCATATATAAGGCCCATATAAGGCCTAAATTTCAGGGAATATCCCCACAAAATATGGCCAGAAATATGGTACTAACGTACCTCCATATCAAAGGATCCTGAAATCCCCATTGACCCCAAGTCTGATGGCTTCAACGCGGCGGAGGCAGCACGTTCCCCTCCACCAGCGTCATGGTGAGCTGCATCACACGTTCCAACAGGGCCAACACTCGCCGGGACGTCAACTCCTGTGGCCAAGTCAGTTGACATCAACTGACTGGTTGAGCATAGTCATCCCCAACAACTTATTGGGTATAGAAATGATATTACCATAAATAGAAATGGTATTTATAGACATAGAAAATGGTTATTGAAACAAGTCAATTGGGTTCTTGAAATTGAAATAGAAATGGTATAACCCAATTAACCAATATTATAGTTAAAAACCCATAGTTAAACAACTTGGGTTTTTTCAATAACCATAGTTAATTGGTCAATTATAGTTAAAACATAGAAATTGAAGTCAATAACTATGGTTTATGACACGCAAATAAATAGTTAATTGGGTTTATAAAGCAACTTATAACTGGGGGGCCCACATTGTAGCTATAGATGAGTTTCTGATAGTTTGTCTCTAGCAACTTGCCAACTGGGCACAAACGAATTAAATGTCACCATGTCTCTCAATTTCAGCGGATTCGGGTTGGAATCGAAACGTCGGCCTCGCAAATTAGAATTCAATACGGAAGTTTTCGAGAAACGATGTTGGGTGACCCTCTGGTAATTTAACATAGCTATGGAAAATCACCATATTCAATGGGTAAATCAACTATAAATGACCATTTTCAATAGCTATGTTAGTTTACCAGAGGGTAGATTTGAAAAAAACACATGAGGATTGCCGTTACTGACCTGGCTTTGGGATTTATACCAGAAACAATTGGATAAGCATTGCGCAAGTCGTTGTGCAAACATCACACGTTCAACCAGCAGAGTATGGCTTTGACCAACAACATACAGCGACACAAGCAGCAAATGTGGGAAACTTATAAATAAGGAGGAAAAAAACAGTGATAGATGGGAATCTTCGATCACAACGAAACAACCGTTGAAAATCAACGACATTTCTGAAGATGTCCTAAAAAGGGGCTTCCATCAGTGATAATCCATGTGATTTTCGGATTTTCCAGGAAACCATCCAGCGAGCTTGGGGTACCCATGACTTGGGAAAGCGAAACAAAACGTCCGTTTTTCGGTGTCCATCACCCGCCTTGGCTGCTGGTGCCAAGACCGTGTCACCTCAGACCAGGGGGACTGGGGGACTGGGGGACTGGGACAGCTCTTCGCAGTTCTGTATCCATTTGGGTGTCACAATTGGGTACCTCAATCATTGGATGGTTATCCTCTGGTAAATAAACATAGACCCTGAAAATAACCAAGTTTTATCAATGTTTAATGGAAACTAATCTTCCAACCCCTATCTGGCAGGGTCTATGTTGATTTACTGGAGGTAATAGTGTGGTCCAATATAAGGTTTAAATTCTGAACCGTCCCCATTTTACTGAAGATTACATTGAAATGTCATCAAGCTACCACATAAATTACGTCAAGTCCCATCACCATATAATCAATCTGTATCATCATATAAACTGCGTCTATCTTCAGGCAAGCAAACTACCAGTATCACCCCGTCCACCTGACTGTCCTCCTTCCTATCTGGAAGTGCAGTTCCAGGTCTAAGTGGATATCTACAGTACAATGTGGGCCCCCCGTAAACGAAATCGCTAAGTTGGTGAACATAACTCCAAGAAATCGATGGGTTTATGATACTTATAACTATAGTTAATGGGGTTTACACACCAAATTATAACTAGGGGGGCCCACATTGCACAGGTATTATAATGTAATATAATGTCATGGGGGTTACATCCCAACTTCGGTTTTAAATCCCAAATTATATCCATTATTAACCATGAACAACCACTATTGACCACTAGTAAACATGATTAACAATTATTGACCATTTTTGACCATCATTAAAACCATTATTGACCATTATCAAACATGGTTACCCTCTGGTAAGCTAACATAACGATGGAACATAACAATTTTCAATTGGTAAATGCAAAATAAATTACCATTTTCAATAGCTATGCTAAATTACCAGAGAGTATAGCCATCAAAGTAACCCTAACTACTCTGGCCCCAAGTACCTCCCCATCTTCTTTTTTCTCACAGGGTGGTCCTGGCCCAACTCGCCAGCGTGCTCCCGGGTGAGGTGTGCAGATTGTACGCGAAGACCACCCGCTCCCGCGGGCCATGGTGCGGAGCAACACCGTGCACCAACCAGGACGGAAAGACCAACGACAAGCCGGTCCTCGCATGGGAATATGCCTCGGCTCAGTTCTGCCAAACGAATATGAAAAATGTAAAAAGGTCACCTTTTTAAGAGATTGGGAGTTAAGGCATTGATGTTCAATCGAAAATTCGATGTTTGGATCTCTACTTTAATTCAAAGAATCTACATGATGGATTATGGATTGAGCAAATTGAGTTCACCTTTCTTCACTTCAAGCAAAAATGTTTCATCAGTTTGGCAGTTTCAACCAGTACCAAGAGCACGAGTCAATTGGAATCCTGCTCCCATGAAGTTTCGAGAAATGAAAAACATGTTTGAAAACACAAAATAGGTAATAAAATGTAATAAATATCATCTTGGCTACTTGTTCCCCCAATTTGTCTTTTGCATTGTTTGCTGCCTAGATGTGGACCTGATCGCTAAACAAATGTGCTGTTGAAATCATCTCTGCGAAACCAGACCGTTTTCTTTCAAGGCGAATGGCATTTTGCATGGTTCATGTCATATCAGAAAACAACATCAAACATAATTAAAAACAAAATATCCACTAGATCTGCGATCATTTCATCAGATTCCAATAAAAACAACATTATATAAACCATCATCCACAACACCTTCCCCAAACATCCCATATCAAACGTTACACTAAGCATAGCCCCAGGCTTCCAACCGGTGGAAGGGTGCCACGGGTTCCCAACGTCCCGCGGCGGCGTAGCGAAACGCCACCGTGCCCCGGGGATCCGCGAAGACCGTGGGCGTCCGGTCGCGCAAGGTGTCGCCGCCGGCGTCGGCGTAGAAGACGCCGGAGAGGAGCGACAGGGGATGGTCGTGGAAGGCCAAACCCATCCTGGGACTCATCCATAGATTCATAGATTATTGTTGGTTTTATGGGAAAATCATAGGAAAACCGTAGGAAAATGGTGGTGATACCCTCAGGTAATTTAACGTAGCTATTGAAAATGGCCATAGAAATCGTGGATTTTCCCAGCTAGAAAATGGTGATTTTCCATAGCTATGTAAACGTTTACCAGAGGGTAGAACATTGTTGGATTATTATTGTTACATAATATCCATAATCCATAAGTATATCCATAAAATATCCATGAGTATATCCGATATATCATTATATATCCTATAACCCATATGCTCCATGGTGCTGGTATATTTACCTACAAAACTGGGTGATTTTGTTCGGGCAAATGTTGGTAAATATTCCAGCACCATGGAGCATATGGGATAGATTATTGTTGGATTACTATTGTTATCCATAAATAGACTATTATCCATAGACTATTATCCATAGATCATTATCCATAGCTTATACATAGATTATCATATTATAATAGATTAAAATAATCATAATAGATTAATAGATTGTTCATATTTGGATTATGAAAATTATTACTATTGTTATTACTAGGTTGGAAGACTGATTCAATTATCTATGGATAATAATCCAATCATGAATAATAACAATAATCTATGGATAATATTCAATGGATTATCAAAATTTATGGGAAATCATGAATACATTATTGTTATAATTAGTATCACTATTATTAAAAAAATGTTTTAATGGATTAACCCTACTATGGATATTATGAATGTTACCTAGATATAATATCCAAATCCAACTATATATACATATACATATATAATATACACGATAGATGGTTATTGTTAATACAACGTATTATCAATTTAGATAGATCATCTTATTATAATGGATACATGGATTAAAATAGTTCGATTGTAAAATTGTCTAATAATCTACTCATAGATTAGATAATCATATAGTAACAATCCATATTATATGGACAACAACCCAATATTGCAATAGATGCTAAGTAATTAAAGACCTCACTCTATTATCCAGATTCTCCAATATAGAAAATCATAGAATCATACACATCATCAAATGATAATAATATAAATGGTTAATATCGTGGGATACTGTTGGATAATGTTAATACACACTTATACATGATTATCCTGAGACGGCTATGGGTTATTGGTGATAGAGGCAATAAATGGCGTTATACCAATCGTTTAATAATCATCATAAGTTTTGGTTAATAATAGATGGTTAATATAGCTAGTTAGTAAATTGTTATTAGTTATTAGGGATAAATGATTGGTATAGATAATAAATAATCATGGTTATTGGATCATACTTAATGCCAATATAGTTATAGATTGTTAATAGATTCCAGAATTGATCATGATAGATGCGAAACCCATCCTCATGGTTGCGTTGGTAACAGAAAAACAAAACATTGGTTAGTGGTTCTTGGTGGTTGCTAATGATAATGCAAATCCCTGGAGGGCCAAAACGGTGCGATTAGAAACGCCAAAAAACTCACAGGCACTTCGATGGTGAGGATTCAGAGCTGGGGTGATTGAATGCTACTAGTTAGCAGTGTGAACATAGGGAATAAATGGTTGGCCAATCTTAGATACCCTGAAAAAAAAACTCTTTGCTGATTAGTAGATATTCCCATTGATACCAAAAGACTAAAGGATTAAAGTATCCATCTAAGATTGACCTAGAACTATAGGGAATAAATGGTTGTCCAAGCTTATGTCGCTATTAGAAACTCGGGTACCAGTTATTTACAATCTGCCGAAAACTGGTGATACATACCTATACTCCTTCTGAAGGCCAGATTTGGGCAAAAAAAGTGGAACTAAAAAAAAACGGATAAAGCCGACCAAAATCAGGGCAATGGAGAGGCGGAGTCGGACCAACTGTAGATCTGTTTTAAGAAATCTTCGATTTCTAAACGACCAAAAATAGAAATCCTCAACCACTCTCCCAATTTTCAACTGGAACAATCTGGAAGATATCTCCGAACATCTCCAGCCCGCCCAATTCGGTTCTCGAAACTCGAGCTCGACGAGCATCGATTCCGCCGCAGGCGATGTCACGGAAGCCCAAATGGAGAGTTCCAAGCTGTCGAAGTCTGAGGAGGAAAATGTTGAGCTGTAGATTTCTTGCCTTATTTGAGAGGCTGAAAATTCAAAAAGGGGACTAGCCATGTGGGATTTAAGAAGGGTTATGGGGATTTAATGGGATTTAAGGGATTGAATGGGATTGAATGGTTGCCCCCCTCCTGTAAACATACAAAAAGAAACCAAAAGATGTTTCCCTGGGAAAAACATCTACACATGGTGTTGTTTTCTATGAAAAACACTGCAAAAAGGACACGGATTTGTCTGATGTTTTTTCGGGGAAAATATGGGAAAACCCAAATATTGATGGTTTACCATCATTTCCTCAAACAGATAGTTTCAGACACACCCATGTGGGATGTTTCACCAAGCAGTAGAAGATTTCATCTCATTCAGCACATAGTACAGTAGGGTATCAAATCTTCGATGCATCCTGGATTGGTTCAGGGAACATGTTCAGGAGACCTTAGCAATGGAAAACAAACCCCATTCTGCATGTTTTTTTCGTTAAAGCATGTTAAAGCAATCTACCCTTCGCCGCCGTTTTTGCTAGAGGGACCATGGCACGGATGATGGTAATTGGTTGGGGTGGGGCCATGCTTTAAAGGTTGGCAGGAACCAAACGTCAGAGTGAGATGGGTGAAAATAGTGGTTTCCTGCACTTCATGGGGATAGAATGGGAATATAATGGCATATATAAACCAACCATATATGACACTGGTTTATTCCAACATGACAAAAAATTGGATATACCGATATATCGCAAAATCGCTGATTAAAAGAGAAACACATATAAATCAAGGGAATTGGATATTGGTCATGTTCTTCAGTCAAACTCGTCTATATTCTATTTTCCTGCCTAATCCATGCTGGATCTGACGTGGTATGACACGATAGTGCGAAGAAGAAATCGATATATGACCATGGCCTGGTCGATTCACAGTTGGTCCTGACAGTATTGGATAGTACTGGCTACTAGGACTCACTTAGGAACAACGAATTCAACTAACACTGATGTATCTGGGTAAATGATCATATTTCACTAATCTGAAACTTGCGGCTGTGGATAATTTCCCTATACTACAGGCTTCGGTCGTTACAATTGACCCAGATGTACAGTATATTTACTGAGCATAAAACATATAAAACAACCTCTGGCTTGCCATCCAGTTGCAGGTATTCCACACAGGATGTCTTCACCAAACTTTTCAGCTGCCGGAACGTGGCATCCCCATACCTCGCTGAAACCGGGTCCCTACCCGTCTCCGATGAAGAGGAGATGTTTCAATGGAAAACCCCATAATCTTGATGGGAAAATCGATGGTTTCCGGTGAAGATGTTCCCAACAAACCCAATCCATTGATTAATGATTAATGGATGATGTGCACCGTGTGATATTTATAACTTAACTACAATATCACAGAAAATAACATAGACCCGGGCAAGCCGGCGGCGGAAGTTTCCCAAACATAAATGACCTATAGTTCAAAGACACCCTGTCCCGACCGTGTCCTTCCCTCGACAACCGTTTGATTTTTTCAGCGAGAGACGAAGCAAAGTCTTCACACTCCACACTCCACACTTCACTCTTCGCACTCCAAACTTCAAACTTCCCACTCCACACTTCACACTTCACACTTCTCACTTCTCACTGCTTCCTTCACACTCCAAACCTCACACTTCACACTTTTCACACCTCGCTCTTCGCACTCCAAACTGAAACTTCACACTCCACACTTCACACTCCACACTTCACACTTCACACTTCTCACTTCTCACTGCTTCCTTCACACTCCAAACCTCACACAACACACTTCACACTTCACACTGCGCTCTTCGCACTCCAAACTTAAACTTCACACTCCACACTTCACACTTCTCACTTCCCACTGCTTCCTTCACACTGCACACTTCACACTGCACTCTTCACGCCCCACACTTCACACTGCTCTAAACCTACGTGCAACAAAAAAAACACTAGCGCCAAAATGGAGAAAATCTGCTAACAAATCCATTTCGCAGCCTTCATGCAGCCACTCCAAGACGATTTACGAGATCCAGCTGCAAAAGACATTACGCATGCAGCCAAAGCAAGAAGCAACCTTGACGCAGCCATTCCAATGCGATCTGCGGAGACTGAGTTGCAAAACACAAGAGAACTACGCGCAATGGCGTCGGAAATTGTAGCTCCAAAACCGGGATCTCGACGCCAGAGCGAAAAAAAGACGATTTTGAAGCACTTTTTAAAAGGATTTTTAGAAGGAAAATCACTAGCGCCAAAATGGAGAAAATCTGCTGACAAATCACTGTCGCAGCCTTCATGCAGCCACTCCAATACGATTTACGAAGTCCAGCTGCAAAAGACAATAGTAGTATTACGCATGCAGCCACAGCATGAAGCAACCTTCACGCAGCCATTACAATGCGATCTGCGGAGACTGAGTTGCAAAACACAATAGAACTACGCGCAACGGCGTCGGAAATTGTAGCTCCAAAACCGGATCCCGACGCCAGAGCGAAAAAAAGACGATTTTGAAGCACTTTTTAAAAGGATTTTTAGAAGGAAAATCACTAGCGCCAAAATGGAGAAAAGCTGCTAACAAATCCATTTCGCAGCCTTCATGCAGCCTCCAAAACGATTTACGAAGTCCAGCTGCAAAAGACAATAGTATTACGCATATACAGCCAAAGCAGGAAGCAACCTTGACGCAGCGACTACAATGCGATCTGCAGACACTGAGTTGCAAAACACAATAGAACTACGCGCAACGGCGTCGGAAATTGTAGCTTCAAAACCGGATCTTGATGCCAGAGCGAAAAAAAATGCGATTTTGAAGCATTTTTTAAAATGATTTTTAGAAGGAAAATCATTAGCGCCAAAATGGAGAAAATCTGCTGACAAATCATTGTCGCAGCCTTCATGCAGCCACTCCAATACGATTTACGAAGTCCAGCTGCAAAAGACGATAGTATTACGCATACAGCCAAAGCAGGAAGCAACCTTGACGCAGCCATTACAATGTGAGTTGCAAAACACGATAGAACTACGCGCAACGGCGTCGGAAATTGTAGCTTCAAAACCGGATCTCGACGCCAGAGCGAAAAAAAGAAGATTTTGAAGCACTTTTTAAAAGGATTTTTAGAAGGAAAATCACTATAGCGCCAAAATGGAGAAAAAACGCATTTCGTGCGAGACTTCCTTCAAAACTTCATCGGCAACTCATCCACCATGCAGCACCACTTGCAATCCCATTTACATTGCGGGAACGATCCTACAGTTGCAAATCACAATGGAATTCTGTCGACCGCGCATGCACGAAAAACACTTGAAACCCCATTTACAATGCGGAACCGATCCGACCATGATCCGACCATGATCCGAGAATGATCCGACCACACACGAGACCGTCTGGCACCCGTCGCACCGCAGAGGTAGATCATCGACGTTCGAGGACGGACTTTGTATGGAAAAACATAGGCTTTCGTGCATCTGCTATCTCTCAAAAACGCATTTCGTGCGAGACTTCCTTCAAAACTCCATCGGCAACTCATCCACCAGCACCACTTGCAATCCCATTTACATTGCGGGAACGATCCTACAGTGCAAATCACAATGGAATTCTGTCGACCGCACATGCACGAAAAACACTTGAAACCCCATTTACAATGCGGAACCGATCCGAGAATGATCCGAGAATATCCGACCATGATCCGACCACACACGAGACCGTCTCGCACCCGTCGCACCGCAGAGGTAGATCATCGAGGTTCGGGGACGCACTTTGTCTGGAAAAACACAGGGTTTCGTGCATCTGCTATCTCTCAAAAACGCATTTCGTGCGAGACTTCCTTCAAAACTCCATCGGCAACTCATCCACCAGCACCACTTGCAATCCCATTTACATTGCGGGAACGATCCTACAGTTGCAAATCACAATGGAATTCTGTCGACCGCAAAAGCACGAAACACAGGTGAAACCCCATTTACAATGCGGAACCGATCCGAGACCGATCCGAGAATGATCCGAGAATGATCCGAGAATGATCCGACCACACACGAGACCGTCTCGCACCCGTCGCACCGCACAGGTAGATCATCGACGTTCGGGGACGCACTTTGTCTGGAAAAACACAGGGTTTCGTGCATCTGCTATCTCTCACAAACGCATTTCGTGCGAGACTTCCTTCAAAACTCCATCGGCAACTCATCCACCAGCACCACTTGCAATCCCATTTACATTGCGGGAACGATCCTACAGTTGCAAATCACAATGGAATTCTGTTGACCGCGCATGCACGAAAAACACTTGAAACCCCATTTGCAATGCGGAACCGATCCGACCATGGTCCGAGAATGATCCGACCATGGTCCGAGAATGATCCGACCACACACGAGACCGTCTCGCACCCGTCGCACCGCAGAGGTAGATCATCGACGTTCGGGGACGCACTTTGTCTGGAAAAACACAGGGTTTCGTGCATCTGCTATCTCTCAAAAACGCAGTTCGTGCGAGACTTCCTTCAAAACTCCATCGGCAACTCATCCACCAGCACCACTTGCAATCCCATTTACATTGCGGGAACAATTTCTTTGACTAACTCGTTCCCTAACGAACTCTTTCTTTGCTAACTCTTTCTTTGCTCTTTCTTTGACTAACTCTTTCTTTGCTATTTCTTTCTTTGACTACCTCACATATCCTGACTAACTCTTTCTTTGACTAACTCTTTCCCTCACTAACTCTTTCTTTGACTAACTCTTTCCCTGACTAACTGTTTCTTTGACTAACTCTTTCTTTGACTAACTCTTTCCCTGCCGACCTCTTTCTTTGCTAACTCTTTCTGTGACTAACTCTTTCCCTCACTAACTCTTTCTTTGACTAACTCTTTCCCTGACTAACTGTTTCTTTGCTAACTCTTTCTTTGACTACCTCTTTCCCTGACGAACTCTTTCTTTGCTAACTCTTTCTGTGACTAACTCTTTCCCTCACTAACTCTTTCTTTGACTAACTCTTTCCCTGACTAACTGTTTCTTTGCTAACTCTTTCTTTGACTAACTCTTTCCCTCACTAACTCTTTCTTTGACTAGCTCTTTCCCTGACTAACTGTTTCTTTGACTAACTCTTTCTTTGACTAACTCTTTCCCTGACGAACTCTTTCTTTGCTAACTCTTTCTTTGACTAACTCTTTCCCTGACATTCTAAAAGTCCGTAACACGGAAGTTTCTCCCCCTAAACTTCCCTTGACAATGATTGAAAATTGTAACCTAGAAATATCTAGAATCTAATAGATGAACAAATCAAACTCTTGCACCCTGATTCAATAATGTGGGTAAAACAATGCCATAAACCACCTATAATGTGGGAATGGTAAGTGGGCATAATGGTGATGACTGGGGGATGGTGCAAATGGCATTGCTTTACCCACATTATTAACTATGAATGATAGGAAACCATAGGAAAACCCATATACGTTACTATAGTTATCTATAGTTAGTATAGTTATCACGCATACAGTTACTATATAGTAGTTACTTATAGTGAAGTACAAAAACTAATTACTATACTAGTTAACTACATATACACTTCATATATAGTTATCACATATACAGTTATCACATATGACATATACAGCAGTTACTATACTAGTTATACAATTCATATATACTAGTTACTATAAGAATTAACTATCTATATATATATATGGTTGGTGGTTTCAACCCCTCTGAAACATATGAGTTCGTCAGTTGGGATTACTATTCCAAATAGATGGGGAAATAATAATAATAATAATAAACAACCATTAACCACCATTAAACCACCATTAAACCACCATTTTCCCTATATTTTTCCATGTTCCAAACCACCAACCAGAATTGGATTTGACAAGCAAAATGAATGGATCGATCTTTCTGTATTATGGGGATCTAGTTACTTTACTAGTAAACCATATATATATATATATAAGTTGATATATATATATATATATATGGGGATCTAGCTACTTTCTGTATTATAAATTGATATAGTTACAACTTCACTTTTTCCCCCCCAAAAAAAAGACGCCACGCCAGGACGCAGTTCTGGCCAGAAGGCCTGACCCTTCTCCGCACTCTGCTCCGCATGGTGCGTCAACTGCCACGTGAAGAAGGCGTTGTTCACCTGCAACTGGGCCGTAAACGTTTACGAAATCGCTTTAAGTTGGTGAAGATACTGTGGATGGTTGCGAAATCCGAATCACCAGTTGATGGTTTATCCCATCATTTACAAGTTTTCAACCATCCAAGGTGGTGCAGGATTTCTTCCACCTACCATATCTCCAAGAAATTATAGGTTTATGACGCTTATAACTATAGTCTTCATGGGATTCATAAACCAACTCAGCTATCTAGATAACTATGGGTTTACGATGCTTATAACCATAGCATACTATGATATACCATAGTGACGATAATGGGCTTCATAAACCAACTTAGCTATCGAAGAAGGGGCCCCACATTGTGGGTCGTCGGTATAATCGACCACCAAGCCAGTGAAGCAACCAAAGAATCCTACAAGAAACAATCGTAAAAGTACCTGTCTATATCCATTGCCAATCTTAGATACCCTGCAAAAAAATAAAAATCTTGCTGGTTAGTAGATATTCCCATTAATACCAAAAGACTAAAGGATTAAAGTACCCATGTAAGATTGACCTAGTATCTGTGTAACATTCAAGCTATGAAATGATGGAAAATAGATATGGATGTAATGGGTTTTTGGCCCAGCATGGTTTGATAGTACCTTGAATGTTTCATCTCTTATGTCTATCGGAGGTTACACGAGACTAAATTAGAATCCCATCACCCTAATATTAAACACCCCAATTGTATGGTCCCAATTATGTGGAAATTCCCTACTCAACCATGGTTTCTAAGGGGGTGCTTCATATTAGGGGAAGGGATTAGCTGCACTCATGTGCATTTTTTGATTCTGAAGACCAAACGTTACATATTTCTCAGGATGTGCATTCTCTATCTGAGTGATGTTTTTTTCCATCATTTTCATTGTATCAATCAAGTTGGGGTATATTTGTTCCCTTTTTTACTTGGCGGGTATCCTTTGATTTCCACATTTGCGGGATGGTTCCATCTTTGTTCAACCTTAGGTATTCGGGGGTTCATCCATTTACCTGGATAAACTATACGAGTGCACTCACCTGAACAGTTCGGCTAGTCTGGGAGAGTTACCACCCATTCTGTCTGCGATTTAACTCCCCTTACATACCTGCCAAAAAAACATGTTTTCTTAGCTGGTTAGCACAATTTATATCATTTTACCATTGACAGCGGCATTTTGAAGTATTCAAGCCTTTAACCAAGGTTGACCAAAACTAGAGAGGCCACCGGCCACCATCCAGTCCGCACCTCATCTGGTTTGCTGGGATCGGCAAAATTGGCGGCGCGGAACTGGTGATATTTCTCCAGCACCACGGCGGTCAAATGACGACAGGCCCTGCAAACAGGTCCAGATGATGAAAACATCTGACGTAGATCCTGCGATTTTTGCGGGCAGGGATTGAAAATGGTGATGTACCCCAGAAAGAAGAATGATTTAAGCCATAAACTATAGTGAAATCAACAATGTTCAACCATACTTACAGTAATTTCATTTAATTAACCATATTCAACTTTGTGCAACCACATGTAACCAATTGTAACCATATTTATCCATATCTAATCACTGAATAGTGCAACTGTGTCTGCTCAGAAATTAAAGGGTAACATGATGACCAACAATTGGATGTTGACGTGAATGCTTAAACAATCTTAAACGCAACCATAGCCACTCATAAGATGATCTGGTTTTTACAGGTGTAGATACTAGCACCGATGCAGATTTGCTACGCAAGCATCATGGTGCTGTAAGTGGGATTCAACCCACAAAATTCAAGGCACGCAATATATTTGTGACACATGAACATCGTCCCAATCTTGAATTGTGATCCTCCCTTAACTAGCCCTATGGTCCTTAGCCATGATATAGGTTGGAAAGAGCTGCCACAAGCTTCTCTTCTCCTCATCCTCTGATGGGTTGAAGGTCTGACTTTGATCCGAGAGTTTTCGCCAAAGGCCCTTGGCAAAGCCCAGGTCCAAATACTTCAGCCAGCCTAGACGTGCGAAGGAGCTGCACACACCGGGCAAAAGTCAATGAAAGTCAATGAAAGTCAATGAAAGAGTGAAATAGTGTTCTTCTTCTGGCATGAAGACATATTGTCTATTTTAAATCAGCAGCTATACCAAGTCTGATTGGTGATCATCATCTCCCTCTCTTGCACTTTCTAGTTGTTTGGTCCTCTAACCCACCATCCCCCAACAAAAAACCCAAAAAAATATCTTCCCGTATTCTCTGGCTCCTTAAAACCCCCATGGAACCCAAACAAAAACCTACTCTAATTCTGATCTCCCATATTCTTTGGTTCCTTAAAAATCCCCTATGAAACACCGAAAAAACACCAAACAGCTCTAACCGACTCCACCCAGCAGCTGTCTTCAAACTCTGCCACCTCCTCCGACCTGTCGAGACTCGTGTCATTCGCCCGTAACCACCGCTGGAGCTGCGCGCGGTCGCAGAAGCGATCCTCGAAGGGTCGGTTACCGCAGCCCAACGAGGCCGTAGCATAGGCTTGGTGCAGGAAGTCCTGCAGCAAAAGATGGTGGTTTCCATAGATATATGGGGTTTTCCATACATAGGGATGCCCCAAAATAGATGGTTTATAATGGAAAATCCTACTATAAACGGATGATTTAGGGGTACGCCCATTTCAGGAAACCTCCATATATGGAATTATATGGATATATCCACCATAAACATCCATAAACCATAAATGTTGATCCCCAATAAGCTAGCTTATCATGGAAAAGCCGAACGTAAATGAATGATCAATGGGGTAATTTGGGGGAACCCCCATAGAGTTTGCCACCAAGATTGGGCCCGAAACCTCGTGAAGTTTCGTGTTGGGTTTGGTGTATATCATGGGATCATCACCTGGTTGGTTCCAACCAACCCCTCTGAAGAATGATGGAGTGAAAGTCAGTTGGGATGATGAAATTCCCAATAATATGATGGGAACAAATGTTCCAAACCACCAACCAGTTATAACTAGTCAATGGATGTTCATGGGGCTTGTAAACCAACAAACATACCTGGGGGGTCCCACCTTGTACACATACATTCCATCATGTTCCATCTGTGGTACATTTATGTTCCATACATGGAGCATATGGGCTATATGATGCTATATGATTCACGATGATTTGGGGGTTTAAGATGATTTTGAACCATCAAACATTCACATGTGTTGTGGTTAAAGTCAACAACACTTGCTTCGGACATTACACCCCTAGATTTCACATCGAATCTGAAAAATAGATAAACATATAATAGGGGTCCAGGTTTGCCATGAATTGGGGCATATTAATATAACCAGTTTTCAGCTACACCCATCTCCATTGTCCATGGTGAAATTACTGCTTCAACCACTCTGCTTCACCATGTTTGCTGCTGGAATCATATTCAATCACCATTTTACCACTGGAAAATCGTAGTCAGTTATCTACCATAAATCACCATAAAATCACGATAAATCCCCAAAATATCCCCATAAACCCTACATCAACTAGTTCTCAAATGTTATAAACCTGCATTTTTCCACCAAAATTGGCCTCCACCTGTGCCCCTCTCCCGTCGTTTCGTCCTCGTTTTCGAAGGCGGTGCCGCGGCTACGGTGCTCTAAGACGCGCAGCAGCTGCGAAACGTGCGCGAAGCCGCGGCTGAGTTCTGAGCCTCGACCTGCCAAGAGATGGGGGTGGTTTAGACCCAACAATAGTGGATATAACAATAGGGACTATAATGGGACTATAATTGGATAATATTATATAATATTGATATACCAATATTAATAGTGCATAATGATATAATCTAATAGTGTATAATCTAATGGATAATACTAAGAATAATGGGTAATACCAACAATAGTGGATGATACCAACAATAATAGTGGATACTAGCGGTATATTAATTGTATATCTTAGTGGTATATCAATGGTGAATTAATGGGAGAATAATGGTATATAATGACATAATATAATATAGTGACAACAATAGTGAACAACAATAATACAATATTGATGGGTATAATGGGATCATAATGGGATAAAGGAAGATATATTGAATATGAATATGGGACTATAAATGACTATAATGGGATTATAATGGGACTCACTAATAGGCCCTATGGATCCAGCCATACCTTCTCAGGAAATATGACTGACCTATGACATATGATTTGGGGAGTGAAGTACCTTCTCAGAAAGTATTTGGATCCATAGGGGGGATAATGATGGGGTAACGGGAGATATATTGAATATGGGACTATAATGGGACTATAATGGTACTATAATGGGGCTATAATGGGACTATAATGGGATAATATTATACTTACAATATTGATATACCAATTAATAGTGCATACTGATAAAATCTAATAGTGTATAATCTAATGGATAATACTAAGAATAATGGATAATACCAACAATAGTGGATGATACCAACAATAATAGTGGATACTAGCGGTATATTAATTGTATATCTTAGTGGTATACCAATGGTGTATTAATGGGAGAATAATGGTATATAATGACATAATATAATATATATATATATATATCGTTTTATATATATATATATATAGAAAACGGTATAATGATGAGCGATGGGCATGGCAAATGACAGCGGTTTAATATGGAAAATATGAAAATGGTGGGAACATGGTGGTCTCATCATCAAAACATGATGAAACAATGGTGGTTTCATCATCAAAAATGGTGCAAGATGCTGGTTTAACATGTTGACTTAACATGACTTGATATTATTTAACCATCAACAATGGTGAATGCCCCCGTTGACTCAGTATCGGTATAGATGGTATAGGTGTAAATGGTTTGGTCTCAAAAAGGGGGCATACCTTGGAGAGACCCCAAGGTATGGCCAGATATCATTTCGATACTCGGGGGTACAATGTGGGGCTCCCCCCCCAGTTTTAAGTTGGTTTATGACCCATAGTTATAAACATCATTGGTTGGAGTTATGTTCACCAACCTACAGCCATTTCGTAGTAACCGCGGGCCCCACGACCCACGGCCCGGCGGCATAAACCCCCACCTTGAGACGCATCAGCTGCCAACTGCAAACCAGCAATGATCTGATTGATGACCTACCAGGCTCCAATGGCAGGTCCCCAAGTCATACAGTAATTAATTGATTATAATTATGGTGCATTAATTACCCATATGCTCCATGTATGTAATATTTACCTACAAAACTGGGCCATTTTTGGGGTAAATGTTAATAAATATGCCATACATGGGGCATATGGGCTATGGTTTATAAGTGGCTTAATTCTGGTTATTTATGGTTTGCGGTAGATACAACATAACTATAGTTAGTGGGGGGCTATAAGCCAACACTGTGGATGGTTGCGAAATCCGAATCACCAGTTGATAGGTGGATAGGTGGTAAACATCCCACTATTTTGTTTGGCTTTCAACCATCCTTTTGGTGGCGCAGGATTTCGCAACCATCCACAGTATGTTGCCCCATGTTTCTGGGGTCTAGCTATGTTTTGATAAGATATGATAAACTGCACCACTAACTTTGGTTCAACTTGGAATGTTGGTGTTTGGATTGGCTTTAGGTGTAAGGGCACTGCAACCTGCCGGGTGGCGCGATTGAACAGACCCCAAGGATGCAACCTATCGGCGACTCCTGCCTAAACAGTGCCAATCTTGCAGGGCCCCCTCCAAACTACCCAATGAAGGGATATCTTCTGCCGTTTCCCAATATTCTTAGTGCTGAGGAGGTACCCTTTGGTCGTTCCATTGCCAAGCTTGTTTACCAAAGGGTGCAACCATTCACAGTAACTGCCCATTGTTTTTCCTTTGCAATCTCCCAGATGGTCAAACTATGTCAAGTCCCTATCTAAATGCAAAAAACACGCATTTTTGGTAGGAAAGTCCACATGCATATTTCCCCAGTGATAGAAGGACAGAGCCCAGCAATCGCAAGGACCTCATAGAGCAAATGATACTCCTCTACAGCATCTCCTCGCAACATGGACGGAAATCTGGAAATTTTCCATTGGAAAAATCTTGGTAAATTGTAATAGTTCACTATCCTGAAATAAGGCCACAATCTTTCCTGACCCTGCTCGACCCCCGCACAAACCAAGGCCAAACAGGTCTTAAATCCTAAAACATGAGCAAACGCCGTCAAAGAAACTGACAGAAATAGACAACGAACAGCATGGGGCTGGGTAAATTATAAAATTTTTGCTTGCCAAAATCATTGGGGAAATAAAAAAGGGGATAGTTCCCTTTTACTAATCATTATTCCAGGGCTCGGGAGAACCGTGAGGTCATTATACCCAGAAAATTTTGAGAGTGACATCATGGGATTTCATAGGGATTTTGGCCGTAAAAAAGTGCGGAAAAAGTTGGATCATCTGATCCTGATGAATGGCTGGTTGGTGGTTGAGCCACGAAAGTCAGACTATTCCAAATTATTATGGAAAAATAAAACTGTATAATGTTCCAAACCACCAACCAGATGGTACTGAATGCAAATACCTTTCGATACCCGACAACAAAGGAATAGACCTCCCAGACTTGAAAATTTACAACAAACCCCAAAGGTTACACCCACAAATTTTCAACGGTAGAGATCCAGCTACCCTCATTTGTCAAAAGTGGGAACAACTCCCCAAATCTCATGGTAAAATCGTGTAAAATCCATCATGGTCATGTGCAATTCCCCATGAACAATGGCCATTTTATAGGTCCTACCAGCCCCACCTGTTCGTGGGGCTTCCAGTCGATTGGCGGCCATCTTGAAATAGTTTTGCCATCTGCGATGCGCTTCCCGTCGTAAGAAGGCGCTTTGATCACCTCGTTCAGCTGAGATTTCGGCCTGGCGATATGGCGATGAAAACAGGGCACGGAGAACACCTTGGGGAGGCATGAGAAATGTTTGCTGGGATATGAGATGTGGCTAGGAATGATTATGCCTTATTATGCCTCTATCTTATGATGTCAGAACAAATAGAATCATATACGGATGTGATCGGATGTGTTGTTTTTTTTCTGGAAGAGTGTAGCAAAGTACAAGAAAAAAACGGAGTGGAAGTGTTTCGCCCATTTGGGGGGCATGTTTGCATACAAGGATTGCATCACCCAACTCCTCAACCAGACTTGAACAACGTACACAAATAACAATATAGAATATATATATATATATATCTGGGTAAATTATAATATTTCACTAACCTGAATTGAGGCCATTGGGGCATGATTTCCCTTATTAACCATGATTCCAGTGAGGTCGCAGTGAGGTCGTTATAATTTACCCAGATATATATCCAATATTCCAATATCATACTAAATTAACAAGTTTCAAGTCCCCTTGAAAACTTGGCCCACAACAACTTCATACCATACGATTGTTGATATCGTGATCATATCCACTATTGGTATACTATCCACTAGTGTTAAACCAACTAGTAATGCATAGAACATTGGATATATATATATATATACACCAATGGATAAAACTAGTATATTATCCATTGGTATATATCCATTATCATTATATATCCGTTGGTAACATAATAATTCTGGTACATTAAATCACTATACCTAATGGATAATGAATATTAATACATCATATACCCAATGTGTATATTTTAATACATATATGGATAATATATATATATATATACCCAAGATAAAATTGGCATATATATATACATATGCTGTATATATAACGATAATATCCACTATTGCACTAATAGATTAATGGTTCTCTAGATCCGCCATGGGGATTATCCACTGTCAATTATATGTATTAATCATACCATTACATACCACCATGTTATATGATCCATGGTTGATATAACTAATAAATATAGCTATACCAACAATTAGTTATTAGACGACTATTATCCAGTGTATGGTGGTAATACCTATATAATAATATTATCCACTGTATATATAACTAAAACTAGACTGGTTTGTGGTTTCAACCATCTTGAAAAATATGAGTTCGTCAATGGGAAGGATGATCCCATATATATTATGGAGAAAAAAAACATGTTCCAAACCACCAACCAGTGATAATATAACTAATACCACCCCAGCCGGCCTTCGGGTCCGGTCGCCATTCTTTGGCTCTGGCGGCTTTGACCAAAGCGGCGACCTCCTCCGACAGCCCCAAACTCGGCGTGCCCGACGGCGTGGCGTCGGGCACGCCGGCCACGCCGACGTCCTGCGAAGGACTGCCGCAAACAGTGACGAAATGGCTGTACAAGGTGGTGCCCCCCAGTGATGTTAGTTGATTTATAAACCCCTATGAATACTATAGATATATCACCTATAAAACATAGTTATTGGAGTTATAAACCAACTTAGCTATCTTGGGGGCACCACCTTGTAACTCCAATTTCACTATATGGTTTATGATGATCATTATTTTGTTTTGGGGGTTCATAAACCAACTTATAGCCCTTCTATGGTTTATGAAACTTATATAATTATATATATATATATATTATATATATCTCTCTCTCTCACGGGGTTCATAAACCCACTTATAATCGCGGGGCCCCCACATTGTAGAAAAAACATGAGGGAAAAGGTGGCTGGATTTCGCAAAGATCTTAAGTTTCAGTGCAACATTCTACTCTGAAAAATCATGAAAACCCATTAAAACCAATTAAAATCCCATTAAATCACATTTAAATCCCATCAAATCCCATTAAATCCCATTAAATCACATTTAAATCCCATCAAATCCCATTAAATCACATTAAAATCCCATTAAAATCCCATTAAGTCCCATTAAATCCCATTAAATCCCATTAAATCCCATTAAAATTCTATTAAATCCCATTAAAATCCCATTAAAACCCATTAAATCCCATTAAAATCCCATTAAATCCCATTAAAATCCCATTAAAATCTCATTAAATCCCATTAAATCCCATTAAATCCCATGAACCACCTTTAAAGAGGCCGCCTTCAATGCAGCGCTGGCCCCTTCCGCCGCGTCTTTCGCCGCCGAGGCGATGGCTTTCGCCGCGGCGCTCGCGGCGCTCGCGGCACGCGCGGCCGTGGGATCCCAGCGATTCGGGGGCAACGGCAGCGGCGTTAAGGAAGGCCGGGAGGGCCTGGGACGGGTATCCATTTTGGATCATATATATTATGATATTTATATATAATGTATTGTAAATAATATACATATATATATATGTAGAATACTGTATATAGGTATTATAATACCTATATGTACTATATTATATATATATATAACGAAAGGCCCCCTAGTAGCTAAGTTGACGCACTATTTTTTTTTGATTTGGGTGATTTGGGGAATGCAAAACTAGACTTAATGGAGTGTTTTTTGAACCAACAAAAATAAGTCAGGGGCCTCACCCTTCTATGTGTATATTTGATTATATGTGTATGTATAGTGTACATATATATATATATATGCATGTATATAAATGCGTCTAGCGTATATGATATCCAGTTCTCTTTGAGTATAGGGCGGCTATCTTTTTCCGATCGCATATGATTTGGATTTATTTGGGGTTGGTTAGCTATCTGACAGGTAACTAGAAGATGAGGGATTTACACATATCATGCATATCTTTTTTTTCCAGCAAGTCTTTGGTACGACTTGTTTTGGTCTATAACATGTGTATATGTATATATATACGGCATATATAGATATATGCCATATGTATTTATATATATATATGTGGATATTATCATACTTACAATATGCTATAAAAAAATACACATATATATATATATATATGTGTACGCATATGCTCCATGAATGGGATATGTGTCAAAATTCACACCCGAAATCAGCTAGTCATGTAGGTACATCTACCATACGTAAAGCTATATATATCCATATAAGAACATATTTTGTGTGTATATATATATATGTACATACATATAAGGCAAACAAAATTATGAATATACATCTTCAGAATGATTAAATTATGGCGAAATGTAAGGGATTGTTGTCTCCCTTCAATGACCCCAAAACCAGTGTCAAACTCTCCAAATTTACATATATATATATGTATATGTATATATATATATACATATACATATATATATATGTATGTATGAATAATAAATATATATTCTTTATATATATATATAATTATAGGAAACACACATGTGTTTCTATTGAATATTGAACAGTATTTAGATTAATAAATGGGGACGCTGTTTAGTAAGATTTCCCTAACAATGGGGGGGGTGACCGCAACATCTATCTTCTGGTTCTTTAACAGTTTGCTATGGAAGCCATGGCCAATTTTGCTTGTTGATAAATCATCTTCGTATTCAAATCGTGATTTTCCATAGCAAACTGAAAAAAATCACCAGATTCCCATAGATTCCCAAGCGGTTGATTTTCTAGTGGGAAATCCAGGCAATTACAATCCACAATCGGTGGTGTCCCATACTTAGCCACATCGGTAAACAATGGTAAACATAACCGCAAAACCTTGGGGTCCTTCTATAGTTTATGGTAGATATGAATATAAGTTAATTCAGCAAGCAACATCATATATCATCCCAGTCATATCCCTCTCTTCAGCCATCTAACAACAGCATATATGGTTGTTGATCAAAATTCCTTTATCCCGGAAGGGCCATTCTTCGCGAATAAAAAAATTACTTTCGCGAAACTTTCGCGAACTCCATGTTTATCTTTCGCGGGGCCCATGTTGGCCAACAACACCTCTTATGAAGATTCGTTCACCACCTGCCAAATTATGCCAGAGAATCACGGATCACTTCTTGGTAACCTTTTAAACATGCAGCTAGCATCGCGGAATCCCTTCTCAGGACACATTTTTTTTTGCAAAGTTTACTGGCCCACCCCCTTCAACCTGCACTTTGACTTTCGCCCGCTCTTTCGCATAACTTTCGCGAAAATATCCCTATTCACAGACCCCGGCCATCAGCAGGGGGTGCACTGAAAAAAAACTGTCACGAGGGTTTCCAACATAACATGCACGGCTTTCGCAATTAAAACTCCTTACAAGGACCTTTAGATCGATCACCATATATATATATATATATATATGTATATATATACACATTATATATACATCAAACTAATTACCATGGAAAAACCATCATGTTCCTCCCATCAACTGGCTAAGTCCGATGAAATTTCCCCCCATCAAATCCCCGCGCCTGGCATCCGAGGCAGCCGGGGCCAACTCTGCAGCCTCCAGCGAAGCCTCATCCACCGCTGCCCGCAGCAGATCTGCCGGGCGCTCGGCGGTGGATCTGGGCGCCAAGGGGCCACAAGGATGGACAGGTTGAGAGGAGATCCACGTGTAAAGAAATGGAGGTTTAATGCTAGTTGGATATGTTTTTTTTTAGATATTTGATGATATTTCTATGGTTTTATAGGAAAAATCCCACTATAAATGGAAGCTTGAATGGGAAATCTCCCTATAAATGGAGATGTCATGGTAGTTTAGTATCTGTTTTTGTTGGTTTAATAGGAATCGATGATCATGGGATAAGAATGGGATAGTTTTCTGGATTTAGCCTCCAGTGTCATCATTGCGATGGCTGGCAAATGGGGACTTCGTGAGCAAATTCATCGAAGTACCCCCTGGTTTTGACTAACATAGCTATGGAAAACCACCATTCTTAATAGGACAATACAGGTAAATCATCCATAAATCGACCATTTTCTATAGCTATGTTAAATAACTAGAGGGTAACTGGGCAGTTGTTCCAGCTAGCCATGATTATCAAAGGGTTTGTAGAACATTCTAAATAACTGAGAAGGAATTAATTGAAATCAAGTAAGACGATGCATTTGGAAGATTTTCCAGAATTAATTGCTATAGTTAATCACAATGCTTCCCACATGCTCCATGGTGCTGGTATACGTATCTGAATCTGCAATTTATCTACATCGCTGGTTGATTTGTTGGGTTGATACATATTTCAAAACTGCAGTTTTAAATAAATTAAATCTAGATGATTAATTCGTATGGCATTTAACATTCATGAAATCATAGATAGTTGCACCCACGGGACGAACAAGGGCCACCAAGCCGGTTTCCATCCATGGCACCAAGCCTTGCCAGCAGCACGAGCAAGAACTGTGCCATGGCGCCATGGTCACACTATGCGGTCAGGAGATCGCAGGAGATTGGGGACAGAATGGGGACTTGGAATGGGGCCTTGGGCTCCAATCCCAACCAAAAAACATGTAGGGAACCACCTAAGTCATGGGGTACCCCAGTCGTCACCTGCAGGTTGTTTCAGGTCACTAAGTTTTTGTAGGCCTATTTTGGGGAACCGCCAAATGTGATCCAATCCACAGGTCGTCCTGTGATGAAGCTTCAATGGCAGACGTGGCTTATACCTGGAGGTCGCTCCTGCCCTGGGAAAGTTCTGAAGGATAATAGGTACCCCAATGTGGGAATTCTACACGGTGGTGCTCAAGTTCGTGACCGTTAAGTTAAGGTTGGGTTTATGGTAGATTCATATCGAACTCGTCAATAGGGATTACAGACCAGCTTAGCTAACGAGTTGGGGCACTACCTCGTAGGTTGTGTTGAACATGTTCGCTTCAATATGCCACGTCCTGTATCAGGATCGATGATCCAACTTCTGGTTCGCTGTGAAATCTCTTGCTCTCCATATGGGTATCGTTTCACCTTCAGTCAATCCCCCTAATATTCAATAACAACCATATGGGCCACCTGAATACGTCCAATACCATACCAAAGCAGGTCTTTGGGGTGATGTGTATTCTTAGGATATTTTTGCCCGACCTGCAGCATTCCCAAATCAACCACTTAGCAACCAAAACAAAACCACACGAAATTACCATTCACTGGACCCATGTTCAACATGTTCAACCCATAAATTCAGACTTAAATCTCTACGTTTTCTGGTTGGTGGTTTTAACCAACTTGAAAAATATGAACTTCAATGGGAAGGATTGTCCCATATATGAAATGGAAAATAAAAAATGACTGAAACCACCAGCCAGTTTATTAATCCAATGAGGGTAAACCTCCATTTTCGTATGGTTTCCCTATGGTTTCCCTATGGTTTTCCTATGATTTCCCTATGGTTTTCCTATGGTTTCCCTATGGTTTCCCTATGGTTTCATACCTCAGAGATATCATCAAAGATTTCCCCCAAGATGGATCCACTATGATCCACTTAACCATCCATGGGCGAGACCGGGCCCCCTGACGCATGAGTCGTGGGCAGCGAAGGAGAGCTGCAGCCTGCGACTGCGAAGGGCGATCGCATTGGACAAGCTGAGTGGTAATGTCAATAATAGATGGAACCATAACAGATCCTTTATATATAATAGATCCTTTATACCCATAGGATCCATGTATGGTATATATGCTAACATTGGGGGTATATTGATGGTAAATGTTACCATATATAGCATACATGGATCCTATGGGATATATAATAGACCTTTATATATTGGGGGTTATCATCATCCATGAACCGGGAATCCCGTTCTTGATCAACCCAGCTCAACATCAATGGAATGGTTTTGTTGGGAAAATCTGAAAACCGGAAACTGGCTGGTCCTGACCATCAAATATAGGGTGTTCCGGTTCCAATGTCCCCTTAAACCAATCCAGTGAAAGGTAAGATCTTTCTGTTGATAATATGAATGGTGATGTGAATGTTATTTACCACTTTGCTTAATGTCAATCACCAGTAAGAGTGAACAATGGTGATGTCAATGGGGATGTTAGTCCTGGTGTTGGTATGAATATATAATGGGATCCAATATTTCCTATCAATGGAATTTATATCTTAACTTGGATATTATCCCCATGGTCATTGACTAGTGGTGATGTCAATGGAATTTCATGGGATTTAACTGAAGTAACAATCAACAACGGGGATATGTGGACATCCTTCGCTAGCTAAGTTGAGTTACAAAACTCGAACAGCTTGGGTGTATGGTGGAGAATAAATTGAACTATGTTTAATTGTGTTTTAGTATGGCTCGGTATCACATTACATAGAAATGCCAGTAAATCTTCCATACATGCAGAATATGGGAGAATATGGGAGACATGGAAAGCACCTGTCATCCACAAACGGGGCGTTTTACCTGTTTTACGTTCAGATTCCCAGATCCATGTGGCGAATAAATTGCGAAATAACCTACAGTAGCTGTCCAAAATCCATGATACTATGGATGGTTTATTTGGATGTCAAAATGGTGGATATATCCATATAATTCCATATATATAGAGGTTTCCTGAAATGGGGATACCCCCAGTCAGCATCCATTTGAATAGGGCTTTTCCATATCAACCATCCAGCTATTAGGGTCCCCCCATTGATGGAGTCCATATGCTGTCCGTGTCCGATCCCAGGCGGCATTTCTGTCGCGGAGGATATCTGAAAGTTGCCACTGGCGGGCGCATGAAACCACGGCTGGCTGAGCCCACTGAGAGCCGCAAGCTATCGCAGTTTTTACACTGCAAGATGCTGCCTTGCAAAATACCTCCCGAAGCTGTGTCATCTGTGTAAAACATATTGGAAAACATATTCAACATTCAACATAGACATTCTTGACATTCTAGGTAGCTCGATCATACATAAACATATACATTAATAGGATAAACATCTATTTATAATACATAAACATTCTATTGTAAAACATATTAGACATCCATTATTCTGACAGAGGTCTAGACAAAGAGATCTGGAGATTGCAAGCTACAACAGGTGCTTAAGGGAAGTTCATCAGTTCTTCGCACCAAGCAAGTTCCTCCCATTCGCCATGGATGTTGAATTACACCAATAGATCATAATAGATCCTTGGTTTTAGTATTGGATCTATCTATATATCTATCTATCTATCTATTTATCTATCTATCAATCGATCCATCGATCCATCGATATATCCATGGATCAATCTATCCATCGGTCGATCTATTGATCTATCGATATATCTATCCATCCATCCATCCATCCATTCATCATCAACTATCTATCTATAGACAGATTCATTTTGGGGCCATGGCATCCATGGGGCGTCTTTAATGTGGGATTACTGAATGGTATTCTAGCTTTGAACCGGTCTTTTATATACAGTATCCGTTGGACCAACTTTTGCAATGCAGCTTCACCGAAAGATGGCGTGTCCCACTTGCCGTCCACCTTTGAAGTCGCGGGGTTACTTTTTTTACAGATGGTTTCATGACATGGCGGACAGCAGGTTGGGAATCACCGGGCTAGCACAAAAGCAACAAAAGAAATGGCGGACTGGGCCGTGGCCCAGTCCCACAAGAATGGACCTGCAACTTTGCACCTAGCTGCATGGAAGGTGTGGCACCGTCCAAATGGGTGCCCGGCTTTAACATCTTTGATCCTGGGCTGAGATCTGTTTCAAAGTCGCAGGTACCGTGCCGTGATAAAATAAGATAACCGATGATGGGCAAACTCAGATCATTGTCCAAAGCTCAAACCTCAGCTGGAGGTCTGTGTGAACCATCTCTGGGGCGGTGGAAATATGTCCCAGAAAAAATGGGTAAAACAGGGGAACTGGGAACAGGTTGGAGGTCAGGTGGGAGGCTGCTATGTTTTTGTTCAACGTTGTAAATCTAAATGTTTGACTGTTTCTTTCTGTTAATCTTGCTAAATGTTTCGTCGGAGTTGTTTGATTAATGTTTGGTTTGGATGAGGGTAGGGTATGTTGAGGTTGTTGTGGTTTTACTGTATGAGATAGTGTCCATTAATGTTCATGTGATGCTTGATGCTTTCTTCGTGTCGTTTCATTGTATATTTTCTTACTTCACATTTACAAATTGGACATTCCAACGGTTCTTTCTTTTTATCACTTAATTCTTCCTTTTTCCTTTCGTAGTATTGTTGAGCATATTGTTTTACAGTTTCTTTGTGCTGTTCCCTGTATCTGCGTTTGTTTTCTAAACATTTATTACACTGCTTACATTCATTTTTGTACTAGTCTAACGGTTGAAAGACTTTACATTTAGAACACTGCTTTTTGTCAGTCATTATACCTCTACAATTTTTAGGGGTTATGTCTTTAAGGGTTTTTTAGGGTGGATTACATCATAATATATTTTATTAAGATATTATGAACTAATCGTTAGGTTTAGTGTCTCCACTTTTCATCACCACTACCTATTCCATCCCAACATTGAGAAACAATCGTTTTGATGTTGTAGAACACCAAAATGATTGTGTCTCTATCAAGTCCTCGTTGGTCAATCAAGCATCCCAACACTGACAATAGTGTATAATAGTTTGTTGTAATGCTGTCATTCCTCCTCTATGGTGTAGCCTCTCACCGTGTTTTCTGATTAAATCTTTATCAAATATGTTTTCATAAATTTCTTTCATAAGGTCGTGGTTTATCTCTCCATACTCTGCGTATTGCTCTAAAGATTGTTTTTGCTTAAGTAGTAGGTCATATTTTATAAAGTTATAATCAGGATACGGATTTTCTTTTATGACATTCATTAATCTTTCTCTATCTCTTTTTAATTCCTCTTCACTAACTCCAATCATTGGCATTTTTCACTTACTATATATAGGTATTTTTCTTTAAGTATCTATCACTTTTTGTAGGTGCGGTGTTCTTTTATTTCATCTTGATTAATGTAATGCTCATAGTGTTTGAATAATTCTTTAGTATATTCACGCAAGAAAAGCTTGAATAGGTCTTTTAATCTGAAATCCATATTTCTAAATTCATAATAACGGTTTAAGCTAGCTAGGAAACATCCAAGAATTCTTTATTGCTTTTATATTGTGAAGGTCTTCAAGCATTTGATATGTATGTCCCAAGTTTTTCTTTACATAAGATTTAGTCGCTTGAAGAAATATGCCTTTCTTCAGTGTAGGACTTTTCATCAATATGTCTATTTCTCTTCTCATTTGTCGGTCATTCACATTATCAGACAAATCTATTGGCGATGCTTCCATCCTTGTTTTAAAAACATATATTTGTTTTTCTGCTACTGAATTGGTTTCTTTATTTTCAAAGTAGTCTTGATTGTATGTTATATATCTATACTCCTTTTCTCTCAAGTCTTTACATTTTGAACAGTGAAGATTATAACTACATATCTCATCACAAATTCCA